TTAAAAGACATTTAATAGCGAAGTGAAATACAATACTTATTAAATGTTCCCTTTGTTTTAATTTGTACTCACACTCTGTCAGTCAGTTTTATGGCCTACATAGTAAGTGGTTTCCAAAATCATTCTTTGAAGAAGTCTACTGACTTCAGTTAAGTAAATTTAATTTGTAATTCTTTGAAAGGAAAGAATAAAAGAGTGCAATCAGACACTGTTCAGAGGAACTATTTCTACTAAAAGTGGAAATTAACTGTGGTAAAGCACAGGAAGAACTGAAGACAGGCAAAAAACGTGAGCTATGTCCCCAAAGATCTTGCCTGTGGTAAATGACAGGAATAATGTTAATGGAATTTTTACACCAATCCTAACAATGGTCTGTTAACAAATAAATGCAAAGTGATTTCATAGAAACCAGTGCTGTTTTATAAAGTCAAAGCTAATCTAGACAGAATGCTTAATGACGTTTGTGTTGTTGATCATAAGTTACTTTAGAATAGAAGAATCCTGGCACCTATAATGATATTCGGGCTGGTAATTGATATCAAGGCATCAGATTATCTGAGACGAATTTATAGGCTAAAAGTCAGTATGGAAAGATATACTTGAAACTATTCACATTTTGGAAGATTTTATTATAAAATATAGTTACTTTTAAGTCTGTCTTAAAGGTGCAGTCAGGATATTGCAAAACAACCACAATATAATGATTTTCACCTGTAGGATATTTTCAAAGATTTTCTGTGTGTAATCTCAGGCTTCCTTGTGTGAGAGGGATGAGGGAACAAAGTCTCTGAAAAGATTTTGGCTTGCCTTAAAACGTGACTTTCATATTTCCTAAATTGAGTGATTCTAGTTCTCTTCAAAACAAAATCACTATTATAGTTAGGGTCACAATGAACCTCCTCCAACAAAAGTAGTCTCTTTTATGCCACAAAATCTTGTCCTGCCTTGACTAAAGGAAAGATTACAACTCCCTCCAGTTACATCAATTTGGCTCACCAGTGGGAGTTCTTGATTTTCTTTCTTGAGATATGTAACCAACACAATCAAATCCTATTCTATTACGGTAAAAGATAGTACCCAGAAATCTGAGTTAATTTTACCATGCTTCCATACAAACTGGCTAAGAGACTCTAAAATTCCATTATTTTCCCGGAACTGTTTCTTTCGACTCCTACTCCTTAGCAGTAACTGGGAGTTCCAACTTTGGATTTCTCAAAAAAAAGATCTGTGAGTTTTGAAGGTGTGCAAGTGATCCACAAACATTTCTAACAATTTGAAATATTTTGGACCTTTATAATTGGTGCTAAATCTCATGCTCACTAATCGTGCTTGCTGTGAAATTTAATAGCACAAGTTCTTTGGCAAAACAGAAGCTAAAGATTATCTAGTATCAGTGTCCTAAATGCTAAACTAACAATAGCACCATCTAAATAATCCCCCGCCTTCACTCTATTATGTAAAGATGGAACAATTAAGGACAGTTTCTGGCAGTCAGCTTATGAAAATAGTTCTTTTGCAATTAGAAACCCTAACTTCAGAATTTGAAACCAATTTCTGAAATAGACAAAAAAGGAGGGACAAGTTATTTCAATCAGTCTATTATCAGGGAACACAAGTGTGCTATTAATTTTGCTTCAGTTTTTTGTATGCTAAATGTAACAAATGTCTTATAATTCTATTTAAATTAAGCCAGACACTGAAAGTGCCAAGAAAAAAAAATCTAAATGAAAATAATCACTACAAAGATGCAAAATCTTGAAGAAAACCTCAAAATACAATTTAGAACAAATAACATTCAATCACAAGCCTAATGCTTTTTCCCCAACCCCCCAAAGTAAAACTATGTCTAATTAAAATCAAACTGTATATTTAAAATTATTAAACTGTATATTTAAAATAATTTAAAAATTATTAGGACTAGCAACATCAAAATACTTCCACTGCTCTGCCAGTATTTATATTATACTAATAAAGACATGAGAATCTTCTTAGCCACTTCAAAAAACCAAACATTCTACATTTCAGGGAACTGAGCTTTGAGAGTTTAGAGTAAAATTATCTAAAATAACTTTCATTACTAAGGACAATTAAATTTAGTTAATCAGAAATTTGGGAGAAAATTGGACAAGGCAGTCAATTTAATATCTTCAGGTTTAATCCTTCTTGTTTTAAGCAGAGGTCACATGTGTTACAACTTTTTCTCTAGTACTACAATGCCTTACTGAGAAAAATAATAAAAAATACTTGTTGAATTAAAATATATAAATTCATTCATTTATTTATTTATTTCAGAAACAAAGAACTATACGTATTATCAAGGAGAATGTGTCCCCATAACATACCTGTTAATTGAAAATTTAATTACGAGTAGTGGAAACAAAAGGAAATGCATTGGGGCATCATAAACAGGATTAGCATGAAAATACAATTTTGAGACAGCAGTTTGCTACTCAAATTGACATTGAATCAGCAAACAGAAGCACTTAAATTTCATTTCCAAGCCCATTTAGTAAATTTAGTCCCAGTTAGAGTATCTTTAATGCACAAAAGCTCAGTGAAAGCAAGTATTCACCATCCAGGACACATATAGGGTTCCCTTAACCTACTGCCCTCTAGACACATCACTCTCTGTTAAACAGGCAGCTACCACCAGATGCTTTCCCTAAAAATGGTCACAGATGGTCCGTTGTCCAGTTAACAGAACATACTGCCCTCTCAATAGCCAAAAGTAAGAAGGAAAGGAAAGCTGTTAACACTTCCCTGCTTAGTAGGTTAAACCCATTCGCTTACTTTAAGCTTGGCTAAGCTCCAACAGTGAAGTTCTAGAAAAGGAAGACTAGACTCTAGGGCTCTCAAGATTAAAAGGCATCTCAAAGGTGATCTAGTCAACAGCTGTACAATGCTTGAATCCACACAACTGCATCCCCACTAGTCAGCTGGTCTAGCTGTGACTCGGCAACTCCAGGGGTATAGAACCTGCTGTCTAACAAGAAAGCCCTACAGCTGTGACAGAGTCCCCTGTTACCCTGCACTGCAATTAGGCTGACCACTCAGTCTAATTCCACAGTCAGGAAACATGGAGCGATTTTAATAGACAAGGTATATTGATTATAACAAAATTATTGCCTAGTTTATGCATTATAAAGTGATTTTAAGCTGAATTACCCCAAATAGCATACACAAAGGATTTTACAACATAAAAACACAGGCAATTTATTTTTAAAACATTGGAGGAAAGAAAGGTTTATATTATTGAAAACTATTATTCAGAGATTATAAAAAATTTCAACAAAGATCAATGGATCACCTTCTTTATACATCTATGCATCTGTAGAAAATTTTTACATTTTAAAGAATTGTTTTTAATTGCCAAAGTTTTAATTAAATGTTTCTTTAATCTTCCACAAGCAGAGCATTATTTTGTTTTTTTCTAATAAATTATTCGTCTATTTAGAATAAGCTACCTGTATGTTCAAGAAGAGTGCTCTATGAAGCTATCTTTTGGTATCTTCAACACATATTTACATTTCCTTGACAGTGAAGAAACAGGAATCACTGAGTTTAACGTACGGTTTTTCATCAACAACTGTCCCAAATCCTGTTTCTTACTTGATACTGAGTAAAATTTTCTTGAATAAATGATATGCATATGAAAAGGGAGAACACACCGAGAAGCCACGGTTAGAACTGGTGGTAGTAGGCTGGGCTAACGTCATCTCAGTATCAATGTTTAAGGAAGGTCACCCTGAAACATATGTAACTTCTCCTTGTCATTTATAAAGCTGTGTGACAGAGATCAATAGTGAAACTTACTTAATCAGATGCAGATTAAATTAAAATCTGACACAACAAGATTATACACAAAATGCCATCTGGAAAACTATGGCCAAGAACCAGAGGGTGGGGGTCTGCGTCCCCTGCGTCTGTGTCTGCAAACGGATTCCCACCACTGCTTCTCACTGCACAGGGGCTCAAGTCAAATGCCGCTTCACAGCCTGTGCTACCGTGAGGCCAGGGAAGTAAATGGAGCAGCCCATGGTGGGACCACTGTGTCCCTTCCCTTCTCACATTCCAAAGGGCAGTCTGTGACAGGGAAAGCCAGAGTGTTCTGTAAAAGTCCAATATGTGCAGGAGGTGAGATAACAATTCAGTAGGAATTTGTTTGGTAATCACAACTAAAGATTCTGCTTTGGAAAAAAAATTCCTTGCAAACAAACAAACAAACAAAGAAGTTTCTGCTTTGTACTTAAGGGTGAAAATCTACTCATGAGCAACAAATAGCTAAGTATGCATTTTACACACTGAATATATATCTGTTTATACTCATGTATTCATTGTAGATATAAATTTATTTACTTTCTACTAAACATGTTTACATCATGAAATTCTTTCACTCTGCAAAAATAGCATGAATAGGGAAGAAAACAGTGTCTTTCAGAACTCCGATGAACCCAAACACAAAGTTAAGTGCTTTTTCTCTAGTGTTTCTGGGTTAAAGCTACAGATTATATTTACAGTTACATGGATCATGTGTAAGAGCATTATTTGGTACATAATTTACATATATTTTACACATGTAAAATAATACACCTACATAGCCCTCTCAGACAATTTCTAAGTTAAACTTAGTTATTTCGTACCGTCTGACCATTTGGTGATATTCTTATTTTACATTCCTATTCTACATCCACCACACATCCACAATAATTGATCAGGATCTCACTCTACCAGAAGTAAACGTTAGAAAGAAAAGCAGATGCTCAGAGGTGGGGGAAAGATAGAAAGATACCATGGTTACCTGACATTTTGCCGGTTTACTCACAATGGTGAGTCAAAGACCAGTCACTGACTTAAGCAATAGGATATACACAGTGACGCAGTGAAGTCAATTCTTTTCCTTTCACTATCAAGTCAGTTCTTGTGCCTTCTATCCAACCACTTTTTCCCCAGTTGGTCTGAGAGGAAGGAAAAAAGGAAAAGCACAGCACAGGCTCACTCACCTAAACCACTGAGAGTATAGAGAAGGTCACTGGTATCCAAGAAAATGGGTCCGTTCTCCTGCTGCCCTTCTTCTTTGTAGTACAGCTTGTAGCCTTGAATGGTTGCTGTGTCCTCAGCATCTTGCTGCCACTTCACAGAAATGGTGGTACAGTTCAGAGGCTCCAGATGTAACTCTGGAGACTTAGGGGCTAGAAAAATTCACCAGAAATGTATGTATAAAAAATCCATAAAACACAGGATAGGTAGATCTCTCAGTCTTAAGCAAACAGACTGAAAAAAGTTCAATTCCAACAATTATGCCTTAACCTAACTTTCAAAACTTCACAGTAATATTAAACTTTGACACAGAATTAAAAACATAAAATACTACCTAAAAAAGACTAAGATATACCTTACCCTAGAATAAAAACAAAATAATATCTATATTTGTATATTTTAATTTTTTTCAGAGGCAATAAGTACTTTCTAATTTTGACCACCCAATATTCTTCTGTGATAGACGAACAAGTATTATTATTAATCAATTAACAACAACAAAACAAAACCAGTCATGTTACATTCCACATTAGTAAAAGATGAAGATGTAGAACTCCCTAGTCTTATGGTCTTTCTTTTAAACTGATGAGTTAAAAAAATATATGGCAATAATATTAATTAGGTCTCTATTAGTACATAACTTCTGGTAATTCAGTTTGATTTGGACTGATCTGTCCATGAAGGATTTGCTAAGCAAACTAATAGTGTAACCAAAAGTTTTACACAATAATGAGTCCTATGCAAAAAGGGACAACTCAATAACAAGTTTAAGATTTTTTTCCATTGAGTCCATGATCTGTGGGAGATTTTTATTCATAAAACAAAATTTTAAAATATAGATACGAAAAATTTGCTTTGAAAGTAAAAATACAATGTTATTCTTCCTCAACAGTCTTTAGAAATTTACCTTTCATGCTTGTAGCTTTGGGTGTCCTATGTGACGTCCACACTGATGACTCTCCCAGCCCCACTCTGGTGGCAGCAGTAATTCGCACCAGGTAGACACTGTCGGGTTTCAGGCCCTCCAAAAGGTACTCATGCGTGGTCCCTGGGAGCTCCAGAACTTGGATGGAATTCTCAGTGCTTAGGCGGAAGGACAGGCGATACAGCACCACTTGGCCCCGCCGATATTTGGCTGGGATTGGCAGCCAGGAGACGAGAATATCGGTGGGACTTCGACTTGTCAAACTAATTTCAGGAGGTCTCAGGGGAACTGGTCATACAAGAAAACAGGTTGCTTATAAATATTTACAAACAAAATTGTCAGTCAGCACACCAGTATTTATGGAATTCTCTTAATAGCAACACATAACGTAATAAAAAAGAGATACTTTCGGCCCCAGCAGAGGTTTTCAGTCAAACGAGTACAAACCAGAAAAAAGAAGGAAAAATAATAATGGAGGACTGAGTATAGAAAAGAAGGTTTTCATCATTATTGTTCTGTTGTTATTTGGGATGAATATGAGATTACTTAATACTCATACAAAATATGAGAATACTTCTCAGATAATCACACCAAAATGCCTTAGGAATAAGGAAGAGAGAATTATACAAGAGTGGGGAAGTTTAGGACATAAGGGTTATAACCTGGCAAATAATATTTTAAAGTGTAAGAGTTGTATCTTAAAAATTAGTGTGAATTTTGTATTCCTAATTATGACATATGGTGTTTAATATGAAAAGAATGTTTTTCCTCTAAATAATCTGAATACAACTGGTACTCCAGGAAAACGAGGCAAGCATCCTTGGAGGCAGCCTAGGATCAGGAGTTAGGACCGGTTCTAGAGTTCGCCTCTGTGTGCCTGCATGCTTGTTCCACCACCTCCTCCACTGTGTGATCTTGGCCAAATTAACTCCTTCATATACAAAATGAGGACAATAATAATAGCTCCTTCTACAGTCTTTCCCATCTCAGTTAACGGCAATTATATGTCCAACTGCTCAAGTGTCATCCTTGGCTTGGTGTCATCCCCGACTCCTCCACACACACTCCACATTCAATCCTGTGGCTCTAGCACTTCCACTGCCACCCCTTGGTCCCTGCCACCATGCCCTTTAGCCTGTATTGTTGCAATAGCCTCCTAACACATCTCCCTCCTTCTGCCCCTGTCTCTACCATCGATTTTCAACACGTTAGCTGTTAAAATGCAAGTCAGATCTTGTCACTCTTCTGCTCAAAATAGCTCCCATTTCACTCAAAGGAAAAGCCCAAGTCCTCATTGTGGCTTCGTACAAAGCCTTATCTACTTATATGGTCGGCTCCTCATTAATTCTCTTCCTCATCTCCTACTGCTTTCCACTTGCTCCCTCCTCTCCAGCCAGGCTTGCGCTTCAGGCCCTTAGCAAATTCCATTTCCTCTGCCTAGCACGCACTTCGCCCAGTCATCTGCCTGGCCAGCTCCCTCCCTTTCAATTACTTCAGGTCTTCATTCAGACATCACCTATTCAGTGAGCCCTTCTTTGGTGACTCTGTCTCAAGTCTCAAACCCTCCCAACATTGCATACTCCCTTTCCCTGCTTTTTTCCCCTTCTCCTCAACACTTTACCACTTTCTACAGAGTATATAACTGACTGTTCATCTTGTTCCTCTGCCCCCTCTCCCACTAGAAAGTAAGCTCCACAAGATGAGGCACAATTCCCCTCTTGTGCTCACCAGTAAACGCTGAGTAACACACAGCAGGGACGCGATAAACGTCTGTTGAATGAAGTACAGAATAGATGGAAAAGGAAAAATCAATTTATGAAGCATTTCTGAGTCCTTTATATATATGAACTCATTAATTCTCACAAAAACCCAATGAAGGAAGTACCATTATCATTGCTACTTTATAGCTGAGGAAACTGAGGTACAAAGAGGTCAAATCACTTGCCCAAGGTCACATAGCTTATAAGTGAAGGAGCAGACCATACAGAGGCCACATTCTTACCCTCTATCTCTCCTCTCTCTTATATAACAATAGTTCCCCCATCGTGGGGTTATGTAGGGATTAAATGAGATAAGGGAGAGAAGGTTTAGAACAGGCAGGGGTAAGCGCTCCACAAGTGCTCATTGTATCTACTGAGCACTGCTGTGCACCTAGGAGACCCATACATCTCAGTTAGAGAAGTACGGGCTTAGGAAATGGGGAGAGACTGGTGCAGAAATTTAAAATGCATTGTCATTGGGCCGGCCCCGTGGCTTAGCCGTTAAGTGCGCACGCTCCGCTGCTGGCAGCCTGGGTTCTGACCCTGGCCTCGCACCGATGCACGGCTTCTCCGGCCATGCTGAGGCCGCGTCCCACATACAGCAACTAGAAGGCTGTGCAACTATGACATACAACTATCTACTGGGGCTTGGGGAGAAAAAAATAAATAAATAAAAATTAAAAAAAAAAACTTAAAAAGCACTGTCAGAGGTCTGTATGTTATCAAAAAAGCAAAATGAAACTTCATTAAATAAAAAAGTTGCAAAGTAAGGAAAGGTTTAAAGGAGCAAAACTTTGAGATTATAACTTAACTGGAATTGGCAAGCTTTAAGAAGTAGATTGCTATGATTAGGTTTGTTTTCTTCAAGGATATGGGGGGCATCACACCTTATACACGAAAAAAAACCCAAACCAAAACACCAGCCTGTGTTTCACCTTAGATATACATGCCAGAGGTTATCAAATGTAATGAGATAACTAGAGAGGTCATAGGTATTGTGGCTTACTCTAAAATGGAACACACTTGGGGCGGCCTGGTGGTCTAGTGGTTAAATTCGAGCACTCCACTTCGGTGGCCCGGGGTTCGCAGGTTCAGATCCCAGGCATGGACCTACTCACTGCTCATCAAGCCATGCTGTGGCGGCGTCCCACATAAAGTAGAGGAAGATGGGCATGGATGTTAGCCCAGGGCCAATCTTCCCCAGCACAAAGAGGAGGATAGGCAACGGATGTTAGCTCAGGGCTAACCTTCCTCACACACACACAAAATAAATAAATAAATAAAGCCTATTAATTAAAAAATAAATAAATAAAAATAAAATGAAATGGAACACACTCTTAAATGAAAACTGAAATTTAGAATTCAGCATCCAGATAAGTGATAATTTTTTCATTTAGTCAAACTCTTATAAACATCTAAATAAGTGGCATTATAGAGATACAAGTAAGAGATCTGGGACCAAATGAACAAAGAAAGAGATTTGGGAATCATCAATATAAAAATATTTTTAAAACTAACGGTGGACCATTTCTTGAGGATGAGAAAATATCTATAAAGGTAGAATAGTATAACTAAGCATACGTTAAATAATTCCCTTTTCACTCTGCAGGGTGACAAATAGGCCTTCTAGAGCCCCAGAGAGAGAGAGATGAAGAGTCAGAGGAGGAGATCAGTTCTCCAGGACTATCTTAATGGATGGGACTTCCCACCATCATAAGAGTATATGGAGGCCTGCCCTCAAACAGACTACACCTCAATTTCTAACCCATGGTCAGGTAACAAATTGAACAAGTAATACTTTCCTCTTTAAGTAGAATAAGCATATTGTATCTAAAAATAAACCAAGTGCGATCTGATTACCTAAGAATTTTTTTTTAACTGACAAGTACTAAATTTCATAAACTCCCAGTTTCAGAAGTCCAATCTTTCTGACCTACAGTCACCATATACACTTAACATATAACTGTCATATTTATTCATTCCTAAAGAATCTCACATTTTGTCCTATTCAGTAAAAAAAAAAAAAAATAATAATTGCAATGTATTTACAATTTAAACTAGGAAACCTGAATAAATACAATGAAAACACAAGAATTTTATTATTAACACATGAATTTTATTATTAAAATTTATACTACAGATTATAAATAAAAGTGCTTTTTATCCTTACCTTGTTACTGTCAAAAAGTGAGTTAGATTTGAAACAGCAAATCAGCCTGCTGTTTAACACACATGCTTTTATAACCAAAAAGGGGATATTTTCTCTAATTTAAAACACATTTATTCAGTGAATTGATTAAACATATGACTGTTCATACTTAAATGACCTAGAATCATGTTTTCTTACCATCCTCTAAAGTGTTCTGTGTCACATGGTCGGACATCTGGCTGGCTCCCATTGGCATATATGCCACAATGTAGAAAGTATAATTGCTGGCGGGTTCTAAGTCATCAATAATATAATGAGTTGTGTCATTTCCGATGACTACCTGATACTCTTCATTATTTAAACCTACATAAAAGAATCAGTGTTTAAAAATTATGAATATTCAAAATAAAATTAACAAGACCATTTTCCTTCACTGTGAAACACTGGTCCTCGAGTCTAATCTCTATCCACTATCTTTGGTGACCCTTTAAAAAATGTGAATAGGAAGGTCTTTATTTCCTAAAAGTAACCATGTCTTGCTACAAATTGCTAGTTTGTACTTTTCCCGAATAAATCAAACTGAAAATAATTAATCTTCTCTAAACTTCATTTAACATCTAGACAAAACCCACAGCAGAAACAATATACAACAGTAACACAACAGAGCTTAACTACTACAAAACACTGTACTTCACACCAGTGTAAATTTTACTTGCTTAAACTCATGGCTTCTTTTTTCTTTTAAATATAAATGGAGAGACAGTAGGGAATGCAATGGCTTTACTCCTTATAAAAACAAACCAAACCAAAAGTTGTCCTGCAAAAGATCTCATTTTGCCCCTAGAGATTCTATTAAATTTGACTGACACAAGTTGTTCTTTTATTTATATTGAAAGCAAAAGAACTGGGAGGCACAGAATGCACTTCGAAATGCTTTGTTCTGCAATGAGCTTTCTCTTTTTTTTTCCCAAAGAGGAAAAAAAATTCTCAGCAATTCTTAATAAAATATGCATGGCAAGGTATAGAAGAGGATTTGTCTTTGTGGGAGTTAATTCCTACAGAGCAAACCTGTAAAGTGGAACAACAGCACTGGCAGCTACTGTGCTTTGCGAACAATTCACAGTAAATGCTTGTCAACTTAATCAAAACTCTCTAAGGAGAGAGCCCCTTCTCCCCACACTGGATTTATCAACAAAACAGAAGGCAAATTCCACTATTAAGTTTTCCCACATTTCTGAATTAACTTGATAGCATTTTAATTAGACAAGATTACAGGCATTTCACAACAGACTGGCTAATGGCTCGTTAATTAGGAACTGCATAGTACGATTTCTGACCTACCAAACAAGGTCCTTGAGTTCAAATTAAAAAGCCTTGCTCTGTCCATGAATAGACCACTGAGCCGCATGTGGAGGCTCTAATGAAACAACCATAATAGCGAACAAGAGTGGTCTCCACCAAAACCAGCATTCCTTTTACCTTCCTAAATCACTAAAAAGGGAATTAACATACTCCAACATGCTCAGTTATCAGACTTTGATTCTTCTTGCTACCATGACCCCTGATTTAAATTCAAAATATTCCTTTCCAAAATACTACTTCAAAGTACAAAAAACAAACAACAAACCACCTGTTTCTACAGACAATTTTATTATATCACCATTCTTTGGGTGTTTGAACTTTTTTTAATGTCTATTGCATAAAAGCTAGGCTGTTTGAGTATATAACTAAAATCTGTGAACTTCTACTACGGTTTCTATGAGAAATCAATAGAGAAATCGCTAGAATTTATAAGTAGTTTTCCTTTTCCTCTATTTTTTTTCCCGAAAGAAAATATGAGGATAAAAAAGATTCCAAAAATGGAACTAATAGTCCCGAATAAAAATTTAAAGACAGATTTGATTTCTACTTTTATATAATAAATGAGATATCAATAAAGAGTGTCCTGTTCAATTTTAAGAGAGTTCTATATGATTTCAGAAAACATTCAAAATATATAGAATAAATTATGGGGAATTTGATAATGTTTACTTTCCCCCTTAAAAACAATATGCTATAGTGACTACAGTTCACCATATTATTTTATTAAGCAGTTACACCATTGCTCCTATGTAACTGCATACTTAAATTGGTATATTAAGTCTTAGTTAAGGAATTTATATCTTGGCTGGGATAAAATTCCTAAGTACACCACTCTGTAACTTTTAGCAGGCAGAGATGATACTTATTTCTAAACAGAAAAATCTTAAACTATACTTATATACACAAAGTATACAATAATAAAAAATTTAGCAAAAATTGATACACAGGAGATTAATCATTTTATTAAAAGAGATAAATGCCATAGAACTTCAAAAATATTCTGTGGATTATATAAGACGTCATTCATACTGGAAACAAATCCTTGATAGTAACCAGCACTTAAAAACAAACACTCCTCAAATTGCTTACCTTCTGCTTTCATGTAATGCACAGAATAAGCGATGACTTTGTCTGAATTATAAAGTGGCCTCTCCCAGGCTAAAAGGATGGCTGAACTTGACATGGTTTCAGCATGCACATTGTAGGGAGCACTGGGTCTGTCTTCTGACATTACTACAGTCAGTCTGGCTCTAGATAAAATAGATCCTTGGCTGTTCTCAGCCATGCACTGGTAGATAGCATCATCTTCAGGAATAATCTGGTTAATTACCAATTTACTGAGGAAAGAACAAAATTATTTCTGTGAAAAATTCTAAGAATGATGTAAAAATAAAGTTAAATCATTGCTAAGTGCACTCTCATTTTAAATGACAAAAGTCATTTTAAATGACTAAGAACAAAAAACCGTGTAATTAGCTCTACTGAAAAGTCTGTATGACCTGCTTAAAATTACTCTTATTTTCTGAGTCTGCATAAGCAAGTACTTTTGATATCCAAATCTTGTTTGCTTTAGGTGATAGCTTAATCTCTTTTTAAAAAATTGACTTTTATTAAGAAAGCATATTACTCTGTAACAGCATCTAATTTACATAACATTGCAACGTTACATAAAATTCAGGTCAACAAAAAGTTTTAAAGTTTTGTTCAACATATGAGAATGTTACAAGAAGATTCATATTTATACTAACAAAAATGAATTCTTAAAATCATTAAGTTTGAACTGAGGAGGGATTCTTAGAGATTCAATTATTTCCTTCTAATTTCTTCACTTTATGGAAGAAGAAACTGAGACCCCAACAGGTTAACATGCTTGCTAGTAACTGAGCTAGTGGCTTACCAGCACTAGAACCCAGGTCTGGGGAACTGTCTATCATTCATTTTATTATAATCTACCACTTCCATGACCCACGTATAAAATACAAAACAATCTAAGGCATGCTGATGTTATAATCTTAATTTCTTATTTACTTTAGTTTAAAATACCAAGATAATTTAGGTATTTGATGTTATAATTATAAACATTTCACATAAAAATTACTAAAGCCATTATATCTTATCTAAAATAGCAGCAAAGTAACATAGCCTACCTGTTGTACATTTTAATTCTACCATTTGAATGTATCTTCCTTCCATTTTTCAACCATGACATTTTGGGTGAGGGGATTCCTTCTGCCTGACATACAAATCGAGCAGTGCCAGCTCGAGGCCTTGTTAAACTTTCTGGCCATTCAACAAATGAAGGAGGAGCTATTTTTAAAGAAAAAAGAAAATAAATATTTCTGTAGTCCCAACAGGAATGATACAAAGAGTCAAGGAAAAGTACAGTAAATGACACAAGTCCCATCCCTGAAAATATTTGACATTCTGAGCCTCCTGTCTACACTCTACATATATCTATCTAGATGCCTTCTCTCTGCCTTTCTCAGTCAGATGTCTACTTTCCCCAGGCTTTCAGTATTGAGACCACGTATATACACACACGAAAAATATGGGTACCATAATCCTACTTAACTAAGCCCAATACACAGCCACTTGTGAATGCATACAGACAATCAACAAATGAAAATTTTAGATTGGTGCATGCATATATGGATTTGTGGGTGGGTGAGAAGGAGATAAAAGGGAAGCTTAAACAAAGGAACATAATGGTATGCAGGCAAACAGGACGATAACTTCAGAATGACAGTTATATTTTAATATAGGGCTTTAATTTTCTCCTAAAATTCATCCTTGGGTTACGATGCTTCATATCAAAGCTACAAAATTCAAGAAAGGTGGAGGTAAGCTATGAATGAGATAAAAGAGCAAATGTTAAAAATGCAAGATTCTCCTGATTGCAGAATGCAAGAAAACATACCTAATACAGTTAAAGTTGCCATAGCAATGGTAAAGTTGCGTGTGCCTGGGGTAGTGGCCCGACAAACATATACTCCAGCATGTTGCAGCCTGACATCAGATATCATGAGATTACCATTTCCAAGTACCCGAGTATTAAAGACATCAATGGACTTGTGATCTATTTCAAAGAGAATACTTCAGTTAAAACAACGTAACATATGATCTAAAATTATGTCAAAAATTCACTATCCAATTATACCATAAAAGCATAAAATTCTCTATACCAAAACCTTTTCTCTCCACATTGAAATGCCAAAAAGTTAAAAGCCACTTAAATGCCAAACATGTGTTTTGTATATAAAATAAACATTTTATGAGTTTCATTTGAATGAACAAAATTTAAAGAAAAGACTTTTTTTTTCCTGGGAAGACTTACCAAGACGGCTCCAAGAAATGATTGGTTTGGGATTTCCTACGGCCACACATTCCAAGACAACAGTCTGATGAAGAGACGTCGTTATGTTCTGTGGACCTGCTATAATGGTTGGTGTGTGAAAGGATTTAGACTCTGTAGCTTTGGGGAAGGAAAGGCAGAATATAAACATAAATTATAAATAAGATATAATAAATAAAATGAGCTAAAATATCTATTGTTATTCACTTTTTTAAAAAACAACCTTATTGAGATACAACTCACATAACATACAACTCATCCACATTAAGTGTATAATACGATTTTTAGTATTTTCAGAGTTGTGCAACTATTACCACAATCATTCAAGAACATTTTCATCATCCCAAAAAGAAACTCCATATCCATTAGCAGTCATTCCCCAGTCTCCTCTTCCCACAGCCTAGCAACCACTAATCTACTTTCTGTCTCTCTGGATTTGCCTATTCTAGATATTTCATAAAAAAGGAACCATCCATTATATGGGTTTTTGGGACCAGCTTCTTTTCATTTAGCATAATGTTTTCAAGGATCATCCATGTTGTAGCACGTATCAGTACGTCATTTGTTTTTATTGAATAATAATAATAGAATAATATTTAATTACATGGACAGAACACATTTTATTTATCCACTTAGTTGATAGACATTTAGGCTATTTCCATTATCAATCACTTTTAATTGAGGTTCAAACATGCATTTAATACTTTCAATAATCTTGTTAGGAATTTACATGACAGTGGGGAGAAGGGACGAAGTGTGAGAGTGCTTTTGTCTTTATCTTCCTACCAGGTAGTTAACATACTATCTAAAATTAAAACATAGCATTAAAAACATAATTTCAGCCTCTTAATGTTTTCCAAAAAAAACTTTTTTAACCTTAAAGGATCTTTTGGGAACTAATATCTCTTGTGAAGAGTACACACATGAAGTTCAACAATGTCTTCAGTGCAGGTTTTCCCCCACTATATTCAAGTAAATTTGAATTAATTATTTTAAAATAAAACCTAGCATCTATGTATAATTCCATTTTAATAAAATATGTATTTCTTTCTTCATATTCATCTCTCTAGTTTCCCTTCTAAGTATATTCATGTACGGCATGACAAAATATATAAAATTATGTTCACTTATTAACAATGATAATTTCTGGGTACTGAAATTGGGGATATTTTTAAACTTATATCTTTGCTCTTTTTTACATTGTTTAATGTAAAAAATTTTATAGTCTTTACTTTTATAGACATTACTCTTTACAATAAGCATGCATCATTTTTACAAATGCAAATTATGATTTTTCTTAAAACAACAAACAAAAAAACACCAAACTGGAAACAAATATATCTTTACCGACAAGGGACAATTCTGATGGAAATGGATGATTGTTATTCTCTCTTCTATATTTTAAAAACAAAAGTGACATATTTACAAAACAAATATTCAATCTTTCTTAAAGATGTTGATATAAAATAAAACAAGTTAGCCCATGAGAGAAGAGTTAATACATGAAAATGACCATTTTCCAAATAGATTACAATAACTTAAATGAAATTAAAGTACTACTTTATGGCACACTACTATAGACAGAGAAGAAAAATTAATAGCTGGGCCAATAAAAACAGAAAAAACAACTTCAGTGTGGCACCTGGAGTCACTGTTAGAGAGGCCTCCATACTTTTACGCCTGTGGGCTACAGTAGCAGCAACACAACGGTAATTTCCAGCATCCCTGTGGCCGACATCATAGATCTGTAAGACTCCTGTTGGTAGGGCAGTTACTCTGTTACAAGAAGAAAGACAATTAAACTCTTTGTAGTAGATTTTATATTTTATTTTAACATATATTCTATAAGATTTAATACACTCAGCCTTTTAAAAGTGCCAGATGCAATACTTTAACGACCTTTTAAAATACTAGATTGGTTCAACTGTTTCCATTTGGGTAACTATAGCTCTCTAAAACATAAATAATTACACAGTATGTGGTTTGTGAAATCTATCAGTCTAATTTTACGGAGTCTCATTTGATATTGTACATTAGATTTAGCTGACTGGTGGTCTAGATCTTGGTATAATTTTTTCAAATTCCTGATTTCTTGCCTATTAATATCAATGTATTCTCCAAGATACACCAGAATGTAGGTTTTTTTTAAAAAAAGCACTTCCTTAAATAACTTCTTCCATCTCGGCGTCCTTTAGCAAATGATTTTTGCTACTTGTTAAGACAGGAATCAAACTTTTTGAAGTTGCTACTAAGTTCTTGATCCTTAAACCTCAATACCTTCAGAGTACTACCTATATGTACATGTGTGCGTGTATAGTGGAGAGCAGATCAGGAAATGGAAGGTAGACAGAGAAGTGGTCAGCTACCAGGGCATTCATGGGAAACCCTTATACCATCACTGCTATTGCCAGCAGTGAAGGTGTAATTTGGTTTCCTAAATCGTTGGGCTGCAATCCAGGTGCTCAGGTGGTCCCATGGTTGGCAAAGATGTTTGAGGAAAGAAACAAAGCAGTAAGATAGGCTACTTGAATTCTGATCTGAACCAAAAAACCAGGAATTATGCCCCATATGCCAGACACTAATGATCTTTGCCTAAGTTTGAAATGTCTTTAAGAAGTTGACTATTGCTACCATAAACGAAAATGAGCTCCATAATAGTCTTTCCCCCTATAGAGTCTCATAATGAAGTCTTAGTTACTCCTGCATCATCTACAAAGACAAAAGCTGCATTTACCTGTCCATAGTTACAGGTAGAGTTGTCCGATTCAATTCCCATGTTATGATTGCAGGAGGGTTTGATGAAATCTTGCATGCAAATCTAGCAACTCCACCTTCTTGGACCTCAGTAGAAATTGGCTGAACTTCAAATGCAGAAATAGCTATAAGATAAAGTTTGACAAATTCGGAGTAAGTACATGCGCTATTATATTGAACTACACTTGGAAATAACATTACGCTAGGTATTATTTGTCAGACTTGAACTCCTGCCCAGACGTAAGACCAATATAACTTAACTAGCACAAAGATAATTTAGGGAATAATTTTGGAAAAACCACCGGCCAGTTGCCCAGCTCAAGGAGTCTGGCCTTTCCCAGGATGAAATTCTAAACAAGTTCTCAAGAAACTTATGACCTATTTGGAGAAAAAAATTTAACAAAGCCGAAATAAAAAGAAACAATTAATAATGGTATGTAATTATATACCAAACTGTGTGGTAAAAACCTCAAACACGACTGTATTTCAGAGGAGAGGGGAATCAGTAAAGATAGATTAGACAGGTAAAAACCATTTATAGGGATTGGTTTTGAAAAATCCACTGGGTTAGAAGAAAGGGGAAAAATAGGACACTCCAGGTGAAAGGAATAACATGAAGGCAAGCACAGAAGTAAGAAATGTGCAGCCTGTGTTCACAGGATTGTAAGGAAACAGCCGGGACTAACTACTGTAGAACATTTCAGATGAAGGGTTCATGGAAAAGTGAAGGAAGGTAGAGATAAAGCAGATTTGTACCATGGTACAAATTAAGACATCACTGAAAATTTTTGAGCAAGAGTGTCATGATAAGAGCAGTGTCTAGGAAAAATTAACCAGGCACCATTACACAGGATGGATTGAAAAAAGAAGAGCCTCAAGTCACAAGACCAACAGGCTGTTTAAGCCTGGAATATCCAGCAATGACAGAACTGGGTAGTGGCAGTGAGAATGGTGACATTCTACAGATATCTTAATGAAAACAAAGACTTGGTTCTTACCGGACACAGATATGTCATTCTGTGTTTGGAATCAAATGAGGTTGGTAGTGACGGAGAAGAATAAAAAAGGAGAGAGAAAAGACAAATGGTGTGTCTGATGAAGAAAAGGTAGAGAGACTCAAGAGACTATTTTTGGACTGATGTATTTCCAAAGCAGAGATAAATCTTGAAGTGTTGATATTTTCTAGAGATTATCCTTCTTTACCGTTCTAGGCAGGCCTCCAGGAATTGGTCATCAGTGTCCATGGTTTTACCTTTTGATGGAGTCCAGACTCTGGTTTATAGTGTGGTTTTCCTTCCCTCTGTTGTCTTCCAGGATATAAAGAAAGGGCCCCAATGATGGTCTTACTCCCCTGCCTCAGACTCCAGTTCAAAAAATATATATGCCTTTATAGTTTATCAAGTGAGAAGTGAGAAGTTATGAAGAACAATAGAGGGAATAAGGTCGAGATGACTTATGCTTCATTAGACTGGAAAGGGTAAAAGGTCACAGAGGAACAAATTCTGCCTTGGACTTGACTTCATTAATCTGTAAATGGATCACAGGCCTTTAGTGGCACAGGACAAAGCCAGTGAATAATGGTGAAAATATTCTTAGGAGCACCTACTCCCAAAAAGGATGAAGTGGGAGTAAAGTAACACTTTATTTGTGTATGTAACAAAAAATTTCTACTTCCTCAAGAAAAGTGGTTCTCAAACTTCTGTTGTCAGTGGATCCACAAGGTCAAAACCATTTTCATAATCACCATCATTTGCCTTTTTCACTCTCATTTCTCTTGCGTGTACAGTGTTTCCCAGAAGCTACATGAAGGGTGATATTGCAACAGACTCAAGGCAGAAGCAGATGTGTGTGGGGATCCAGCTGTGTTCTATTAACCTAATTAATGAGATTTGCACAAATGTAAAACAACGCTACTCCTCTCACTAAATTTTTTTTGCTTTGAAAAATAGTTACGTTTCATTAAATGTTATGTTAATACATAATGGATCAACATTTTTATTTTTTAATTAATTAATGAATATTTTTAAAATTTCTCAGTTTTATCATTAATCATCAGGGAAATGCAAATCAAAACAACACTAAGATATCACCTCACGCCCATTAGAATGGCTATAATCACCAAGACAAAAAACAACAAATGTTGAAGAGGATGTGGAGAAATAGGAACTCTCATACACAGCTGGTGGGAATGCAAACTGGT